TTTCTGTTCTGCTTGTCCATTTATTTTGCTTTTCAATCTATTTTTTTTTTATTATATTTTATTGATTTTTTACAGAGAGGAAGGGAGAGAGATAGAGAGTTAGAAACATCGATGAGAGAGAAACATCGATCAGCTGCCTCCTGCACATCTCCTACTGGGGATGTGCCCGCAACCCAGGTACATGCCCTTGACCGGAATCGAACCTGGGACCTTTCAGTCCGCAGGCCAACGCACTATCCACTGAGCCAAACCAGTTTTGGCAATCTATTTTTTTTAATGCATTGCTACCACAGCTTTTTTTTGTTTCCATTTTCATGAAATCTCTTTCCATCCCTTTACTTTCAATGTGTGTGTGCCTTTCCATCTGACGTGGGTCCCTTGTAGACAGCATATGTAGGGTCATATTTTACTATCCATTCAGCTACCCTACGTCTTTTGACTGGAGCATTTAATCCATTTGCATTTAAAGTAATTATTGATAGATATTTATTTATTGCCATTTTATTATTCATATTTTTTATCTTCCTTATTCTTCTTTTTAAAGAAGACCCTTTAACATTTTTTGTAATACTGGTTTAGTGGTGATGAACTCCTTTAGCCTGTCTTGGTCTGGGAAGTTATTTATCTGTCCTTCATCTCTAAATGATAGCTTTGCTGGGTAGAGTAATCTTGATTTTACTGGGTAGAAAGTCTTACATTTCATCACTGAATATTTCTTGACAATTCCTTCTGGCCTGCAAAGTTTCTGTTGAGAAATCAGCTGACAGTTTATAAAAAATATATTTATATGTATTTCAGAGAGGAAGGGAGAGGGAGAGAGAGATAGAAACATCCATGATGAGAGAGAATCACTGACCGGCTGCCTCCTGCACACCCTACATCAGGGATCGAGCCTGCAACCCGGGCATATGCCCTGACTGGAAATCAAATGTGACCTCCTGGTTCTTAGGTTGATGATCAACCATTGAGCCACACCAGCTGGGCTTAGCTGACAGTCATATGGGTGCTCCTTTGTAGGTAACTAACTGCTTTTCTCTTGCTGCTTTTATGATTCTCTCTTTAATTTTTTAAAGATTCTCTCTTTGTTTTTAACTTTAATTATGATGTGTGTTGGTGTGGGCCTCTTTGGGTTTATCTTGTTTGAGATTCTCTGCACTTCCTGGACTTGTATGTCCATTTACTTCACCAGGTTATGGAACCTTTCTGTCATTATTTCTTCAAATAGCTTTTCAAGATCTTGTTCTCTCTCTTTTCCTTCTGGCACCCCATGATGTGAATGTTGGTGCACTTGAAGTTTTCCCAGAGGCTTCTTACACTCTCTTCATTTTCTAATTCTTTTTTTCTTTTTGCTCTTGTAAGTGAGTGTTTTTTTGCTTCCTCATATTCCAAATCGGTGATTTGATTCTCAGCATCCTCTACTCTACTGCTGAATCCCTGTAAATTATTTGTTATTTCAGTTAGTGTATCCTTAATTTCTGACTGGTCCTTTTTCATATCTTTGATGTTCTCGCTAATTTCCTTGAAATTCTCACTTAGCCCCTGACGCTCTCATTAAGATCCTTGAGCATCTTTAATAACCATTGTTTTGAACTCTGTATCTAGTAGTTTGCTTGCTTCTATTTCATTTAGGGTTTTTTTTCTGGAGATTTCTTCTTTTTTTCATTTGTGACATGTTTCTTTGTCTCCACATTTTAACTGCTTCTTTGTGTTTGTTTCTATGTATTAAGTAGAGCTGCTATGTGTCCTGGAATTTGTAGAGTGGCCTTGTATAGTAGGTGTCCCGTAGGACCCAGTGGCTCAGCCTCCCCTGTCACCTAAGCTGGGCACTCTAGGTGCACCCTGTGTGGCTGTGTACACTGTCTTGCTGTAGTCGAGCCTTGATTGCTGTTGGTGTCACTGGGAGGAACTGACCCCCAGGCCAATTGGCTGTGAGGACCAGCTGTGACTACAGTGGAAGAGCTGCTGTGCAGGAGACACCCTTTGGGGGGCTGCCTCCCTGCTTCAGTGGGGATTTGCTGTTCACTGAGTCTGCCCCTTGGATGTGTGAAGTTGTGATCTTGTGTGATCTGAAGTTGTCCACAGGGTGCACTGGCTCAGGGCCCCCACTGGAGGTGTGAAGTCAGCCACTGGCTCTGGGGCCACCTGTCAGAAGCTACAGAGCGATCTGCAGATGGCTGCTACTTGTGTTGGGCTTGGAAGTGCCCAGGAGAGGCCAAGCTGTGAAGCAAGGCAGGCTGCTACTAGTGCTGGGTCCCCGGGCGCCTCTTATTGAGAGGAATGGGGCATGCTAATGCCAGCTGCTGCTAGTTTGAGAGATTTTAGGAAAGTCTAAAGCCTGAGCCAGGACAGGCCATTTCTATGGAAAAGCCACTGCAAACAGCTTGGGTGGGGCTGAAAATTGAGTGGAGTCAGGGAAATCAGCAGGACGGATCAAACATTGTGAGCCAGGCTGGTGGAAACTCAGATATGGCTACCAGTCAGCTCTATGACAGGAGAGGTCCCAGTGTAAGAACAATGGCCCCTGCAAGCACCCCCATCTGGGAGAAAGCTGTCCCTGAGTTCTTGCTCTGATGCCAGACAATCCAGTTCCTCCCCATATGTCCCTGGATCCCCCCTCCCTCCCCAAGCCACTGCCCTAGTGCTGGAGCTAAGAGGGAGAGAGTGCGAGTCCAACTAAGTCTGTGCACGGGCCCTTTAAGAAGAACAGTCTGGGTCTCCAGTAGCCTCCACGTCACTCAGCCACAATCCCTGCTGGTTTTTACAGCCCGAAGGTACAGGGACTTCTCTTCCCAGCTCTGGAAACCTGTGCTGAGGGGTCTGGTGTGGGGCTAGGACTCCTTGCACCTCATGGGAGACCTCTGCAGTCTGCATATCCCTCCCGACTAAAAAGCTGCCACAGACGGGTGTTGGACCAGCCCATTCTGCACCTCCACCTCTCCTATTCGTCTCAATGTGCTTTCTTCTTTACTTCTCTAGTTATGAGACTTCCATTCAGCCCAGTTTCAGGTGGTTCTGAATGACGGTTGTTCTGCATTTTGATGTGGTTGTGGGAGGCAGCGAGTACCGGTGTTTACCTATCTTGGTTCTGACTCCTGACTGGTTCTTCTTTGTTTTCTAGTTCCATTTTTATGTTTCCTATCTCTTTGTTGAAGCTCTAAGTTCCTCTACTCTTACCCTACATTCATTGGACATTTTTTAAACCAGTGTTTTGAACTCTGCATCTGGTAGATTGTCTCCATTTTGTCTAGTTCTTTTTCTGGAGATTTCTTCTGTTCTTTCGTTTGGGACATGCTTCTTTACCTCCTCATTTTGGCTGCCTCCCTGTGTTTATTCCTATGGGTCAGGTGGAGCTGCTACGTCTCCTGGGCTTGGTAGAGTTTGCTTAGTAGTTGGTGTCCTATAGAGTCCAGTGGAGCAATCTCCCTGTTCACCCCAGCTGGGCCCTTCAGCTGTGACCCCCATGTTATCGGTGTACACCCTCCTGTTGTAGTTGAGTCTTGACTGCTATTGGCATGTCAATGGGAGGAATTTACCCTCAGCTGTGCAGGGCCCACACCACTGAGCAGGATTTACTTCAGTGCTCTGGTGCCTGCTGAGTCTGCCTCTTGAGTGTGCCCCTTGTGGAGGAGGTTGGGTAGTGTTTTGACATGGTCTGAAGCTATCCCAGTGCACTGGCTCTGGGGCCTCCTGGAAGGTGCGAGCCAAGAAAGGTCAGCCACTCTCTGTGTCCCAGGGCCCCCTGGCATGAGCTATAAGAAACCTGCAGATGGCTGCTACTTGTGCTGGGCTTGGAGGTGCCCAAGAGAGGCCAAGCTGCCAACCAGAGTCGGCTGCTGCTAGTGCTGGGCCTGGGGCCTCTTAGTGAGAGGGATGGGGCATGCTTAGGCTAGATGCTGCTTGTTTGAGAGGTTTTAGGAAGTGCAAAGCATGAGCCAAGACAGGCTATTTGTATGGAAGAGTCACTAGAAATGGCTTGTATTGGGCCCAAAAGCTGGGTGGGCAGGGACTCAGAGAGTCACCAGGGTGTGGCTAACAGTGTGAGCCAGGATGATGGAGACTCAGATGTGACGCCTGCCTGCCAGCTTTGGGAGGGCTCAGAGAAGGAACAATGGCCTCTGCCAGCACTTCTGTCTGCGAGAAACCTGCCCTTCCAGCTCTCACCCTAATGCCAGACAACTCAGTTCCTCCCCATATGTCTCTGGTGCCCAGTGCTGGAACTCAGAGCAAGTAAGTCCATGTTCTGGCCCTTTAAAAGGAGTGCCTGGGACTCCAGCAGCCCTTCGTCTCACTGGGCCACCCCCTGAGCTGGTTCACAGCCAGAAGTCATGGGGACTTCTCTTCCTGACAATGGGACCCTGGGCTGTGGGTCCTGCTGTGGAGCTGGAACTCCCAGCTCCTCAGGGGGATCTTCCCAGTTCTGATAGCCCTCTTTATTTTTATTGGTTTAACTATGTTTTTATTGATTTCAGAGAGGAAGGGAGAGGGAGAGAGAGGTAGAAACAGCAATGATAGCCCTGGCCAGTTTGGCTCAGTGGATAGAGCATCGGCCTGCAGACTGGAAGGTCCCAGATTCAATTCCAGTCAAGGGCACATGCCTGGGTTGCAGGCTCAATCCCCAGTGGGGGGCGTGCAGGAGGCAGCCAATCAATGATTCTCTCTCATCGTTGATGTTTCTATCTCTCTCTCCCTCTCCCTCTCTCTCTGAAATCAATAAAAATATTTTTTTTAAAAAGTGCTCATCTTTCATCCACCGAGTGCTCTACTGTTCCAAATCAACAACCACTGTGGGCTCGGGAAATGGTTTGGGTCCTTCGCTGCACAAAGACCCTCCTACTTCTCTTAGCCTGTATGTCACCAGCACCCGCGAAGCCCTCCCACACCTGTGCTCAGGCGCACACAGCCCGTGCCCGTGTCCGTGGGGGACTGTGCCCAGAGCTATCTGGCCGTTCTTCTCCCCAGATGACGTGGCCTGACCCGCCCCTCCCCGACTCTCTCTGCAGCCAGATTTACTGCCACGGGGAGCTCCTGCACCAGGTGCAGATGGCCAAGCTCTACCAGGACGACAAGCAGTTCGTGGACATGCCGCTGTCCAACGCTCCAGGTAAGGCGCCCGGGACCCCACCTGCTCCTGAATTTCCCACCAAAGACAGCAGGGGCCAGACCCTCCATCAGGGAGGGGGTCACGGGTCCCACGAATCCCCCCTGCGTCTCTGCCCCAGACCAGGTCCTGCAGCACTTCCGCACGCTGGCCAGCGCCCACAACCACAGCATCCCCAGGCCGCAGCTGCAGGCCTTCCTCCAAGAGCACTTCCAGGCCGCGGGGCAGGAGCTGCAGCCCTGGGTCCCTGAGGACTGGAAAGACAGGTACAACCCAGACGAGGAGCAGAGTGGGCCCTCCAACGGGGCTGCCCCTGACCCCTGCCGGCCCCTGTCTTTCCAGCCCCCGAATCCTAGAGAAGATCTCGGACTCCAAGCTGCGCTCCTGGGCCAGGCAGCTGCACCAGCTCTGGAAGAAGCTGGGAAAGAAGGTATCAGGGCCCAGGGCCCAGGGGTTGGCGCTGAGAGGGGTGCCCAGCTGGGAGGCCGCCCGCCCTAGAGCCCAGATCCGGATGCAGTCCCCGAGAACACAGCCTCCAGGCCCGGGTCCCAGAACAGCAGCTTTCTAGAGCGATTAGAATTGTATAAAGAATCTCTGAGAGGGGTCAGGGGGACATGTCCTTCTAACCCCTGACCTCTCCCTGAAGTCCCCCGCCGCCCCCAGGCACACCCAGCCTGCCCTGCCCTCCCAGGCTGCCCAGTCCTGCCTCTAACCCACGGGGTGGCTATTCCCTCTCCTGCCGGACTCTTCCAGAGGCCCTCAGGCCACGCCCTGCGCAGGAATGACCGTAGCTGCTGCCCTGCGATTGGCACAGCCTGTTGGCACTTTCTCTCCTTTGTCTGAGGCTCAGAGAGGGCAGTGATTGGCCCAAAATGCACAGCCCCTAGCCCCAGGCCCTGGCACCCACAGGCAGAGGGGGGCTCTGGGCTCCTTCGTTGGCGTGTGCTGCTCCCTCAGCCAGCACCCACGGGAGCTGAGCCTCAAGCACTGCTCCCCTCGAAACCCCGCCCCCTAAAACCACGCTCACATGCAGAACGAGCAGGAAAGAAGCAGCGCCAATGCCTGACAGACACCAGCAGGCCCCACCGGGTCCCACTTGCTCCTCGGCCACGCCCATGCACACCCACCCACTGGGGAGAGGGTCACGGCCAGAGAATGGGGGGCCCTGAGTCTCTGGGCCTGGCGTGGTGGTGGGAGCAGAGACTCGGGGGCGAAGGAGCTGGAGGAGACCTAAGAGTGGCCACTGCTTGGCGAGCACGTGCCGGTGCCAGGCTCCTCCACTCCACCAAGCACAGCACGTGGGGCAGACCAGGCTCCCGGCAGCCAGGCCTGGGCAGAGGCCCCAGCAGGCCGAGCAGCAGGGAAGCAGAGCCCACGCCCGGGCGGCCTGGCTCCGAGCCCCCAGCAGCTCCTCCAGCCCAGGCCCTGGGGCAGGCGTGGGGTCCAGGCTCCCTGCACCCTCTCTCCTGCTCCAGGTGAGGCCAGAGGTCCTCCGCCAGCCCGAGCGCTTCTCTCTGATCTACTCGCAACACCCCTTCATCGTGCCCGGCGGGCGCTTCCGCGAGTTCTACTACTGGTGAGTACCCAGGTGGTGGGGAGCCCCGAGCCGGGGGTGTCCTGAGCGTGCAGGGCAGAGGCGGGTGAGGTCTGGTTGGGATGACGGAGCCGTCCCTCCCCAGGGATTCCTACTGGGTGATGGAGGGGCTGCTCCTGTCGGAGATGGCGGGGACGGTGCGGGGCATGCTGCAGAACTTCCTGGACCTGGTGCAGACGTAAGAGGGGCTGCCCTGCAGGCGGGGGTGCGGGAGGACCAGCAGTGCCAGGCGCTGGCACCCACAGGCAGAGGGGGGCTGGGTGTGCCTGGCTCTGGTGGTCGGTCGGGCAGGAGCAGTCAGCAACCTCCTCCTTGGCAGCTACGGGCACGTTCCCAACGGGGCCCGCGTGTACTACCTGCAGCGCAGCCAGCCGCCGCTCCTGACGCTCATGATGGCCCGCTATGTGGCTCACACCAGCGACACCGCCTTCCTCCGGTGGGCACCCCCTCGGGCTGCCCGCGGGCTCCCGTCCCCGAGGCCTCCCCAGGTGGGATGGGAGGTGCGCCCGGCCTGAAGGGTGCCCGGCTCTGCTCCAGGGACAACATCGGGACCCTGGCCTTGGAGTTGGACTTCTGGGCTGAGAAGAAGAATGTCTCTGTGAGCTTGGGGGGGAAGAGCTACGTCCTGAATCGCTACCACGTCCCTTACGGGGGACCCAGGTGAGGCCCTGCGGGAAGGTCTCTCCACCCCCATGCCTTCACTCCTGTGCGAGTGTCATCAGGCCCCTGGCAGGAGGGCAGGTGGCTCGGGCTCCCCTCTCAGAAGCGAGACTGGTCGCTGTGGGCCATCAGGGCTGTGGGCCCAGGTCCGCTGAGTCACCAGGGCTCAGCCCCCAGCTTGGGCACCAAGGGCTCAGAGCCGCCCGTGCCAGGCTGCCCACTCTCCTCTCGCAGACCAGAGTCCTACAGCAAGGACGCAGAGCTGGCGGGCATGGTGCCCGAAGGTGAGCGGCGGAGGGAGGGCGGGGGGCTGGGGCCTGGGGGCCTGCCGCTGGGTCAGGCCCATCCTCTGTCCTCTGTCCCCCCTCACAGAGGCCCGGGAGGCTCTGTGGGCTGAGCTCAAGGCAGGGGCCGAGTCTGGCTGGGACTTCTCTTCACGCTGGCTCATCGGGGGCCGGGACCCCAGCTCGCTCAGCAGCATCCGGACCAGCAAGCTGGTGCCTGTGGACCTCAACGCCTTCCTGTGCCAGGCGGAGGGGCTGATGAGCAGCTTCCACGCCAGCCTGGGTGAGCGGCCGGGTGGGAGGAGCTGGGTGAGCAGCCGGCCAGGCTGGAGGGGCCGGGCGGGAGGAGGCTGGGCGCGTCTTGCTGGGCCCTGCCTCGCCTCAGCCTTGGCGGTGGAGCTGGAAGGAGGACCTGGGTGAAGGGCCTCCCGCTTTGCAGCCCGATGGTACCTGCCCCCTCGTGCAGCCCGGGTGGGAGTGCACAGGGGGCCTACGTGCATCTCCACTCCCCCATTTTCTCACGGGGCAGGTCGTGCCAAACCCTTCCCCTCTCCCTGAGGCGGCCCTTTGAGCCGGAGCCAGTGCCCTTCGGAGGATGAGCCCGGGACAGGGCCACACTGGCCGGGAGCCGTAGGGCCCCTTTGCTCAGGGAGTTCCGGGTCCTGGAGCCTGAGGTGGGGCGGGCTCCAGGTGGGCATGGCCTCTTGGCCCTTGAGGGTCACAGCAGGAGGCCAAGGGCAGGCCCGTTACTCCATCTAAATCACGTGTCCCCCAGGGAATGAGGCTGAAGCCACAAAGTACAGAAACCTGCGGGCCCGGCGCCTGGCCGCCCTGGAGGCCGTCCTGTGGGACCAGGAGGAAGGGGCCTGGTTTGACTATGACCTCGAACATGGAAAGAAGAACCACGAGTTTTACCCGACCAACCTGGCTCCTCTCTGGGCCGGCTGCTTCTCTGACCCCACCATGGCGGACCAGGCCCTCAAGTACCTGGAGGTGAGGAGCCAGCAGGGAGCTCTGGCCAGGGGCCGCCACGCCCTCCTGGGTCTCAGCTGCGGGGCCCACTGCGGCCTCAAGGGGCAGCTGTGAGCCCAGACGGGAAGGCCCAGGAGAGGAACCTCTGCTTTAGGGGGGCCCTGCCTCCTGGCTCCCCGCCAGCCCCACCCGCAGTCACAGTGCCTTCTGGAACCTTCCAGGACAGCCAGATCCTTACCTACCAGCACGGAGTCCCGACCTCGCTCCGGAAGACGGGCCAGCAGTGGGACTTCCCCAACGCCTGGGCTCCCCTGCAGGACCTGGTCATCAGAGGTAGGAGCAGGGAGGCGTGTCCCAGGGTCCTCTCTCTCCAGCCGCAGGCCCGGTCAGAGCCAGTGGCCCGCGGTCCCTGGAAGGAGGGCACAGGCCGGCCCTGTCCCCCTCTGCGCCCCTGGGATGGGCTCTGCATCCTCAGGCCCTCCTCGGGGTGTCCTAGGTCTGGCCAGGTCTCCTTCACCCAGGACCCAGGAGGTGGCTTTCCAGCTGGCGCAGAATTGGATCCAAACCAACTTCCGTGTCTACTCCCAGACGTCAGCCATGTACGAGAAGGTGAGCCGGCCCTGCGCCGCCCCATCAGGCTCTGCAAAGCCCAGGCCCCGGCCCCGTGGCGGCCCCCAGTGGCCATTCCCGGGCACTGCCGGGGTGGGAGACTCAGAGGTGAGCTGGCCCTGAGCCAGACCCGCCAGTGCGCCTCCCGTGGTGAGAGGGGGGATTGTCAGGCTCTGCAAACCCCAGGCCCAGTGGCGGCCCCCAGTGGCTACTCATGGGCACTGCAGTGGTGAGAGACAGCTTGTCCTCTTGTCCCCAGTATGACATCAGCAGGGGTGGACAGCCAGGTGGCGGAGGGGAGTATGAAGTCCAGGTGAGTGGGCCCACACCCTACAGGGAATGATGGGGCTCTGCTCTCCCCACAACTGACCTTGACCTTCCGCTCTAGGCCTGTTCTCCCATGGGGGAGGGTCCCCAGGGAGGAGCCTGGCACCCCTGGGCTAGACCTTCCGGGTTTAGGTCAGGGGACCCCACACCTGCCTGGAAGGACGTGGGGGCCTTCCCCTGAGGCCTCGCCACTGGCCACCCTCTCTCCAGGAGGGGTTCGGCTGGACCAATGGCGTGGTCTTGATGCTCCTGGACCACTACGGCGACCGGCTGAGCTCTGCGGCCCAGACAGCTTTCCTGGAGCCCCTCTGCCTCGCAGCTGCCCTTCTGCTCAGCCTCCTGCTGCGGTGACGACCCTGCCCCGTCGGCCTCAGCTCCTCCTCCGCTCTAGCTCCCGCCTCATTAAACGCGTGCAGGCGTCCCTGCCTTCGGCCTCTCCTTCTCCATTCCTGGGGACCCCATGCCCTCCTGGGCCTCCCGCCAGTCGTCAGAGTGGAGGGGGGCAGGGGAGGGCTCTGGAGGTCATGGGTTGGCCCCTGGGTCCCTCCTGGAACTTTCCACCAGGCGGAAATCCTGCTTTGTGGGGCAGAACTAACCCTCCTACCCCGTGAATCTCAGCCCAGTGCCCCACACAACTCAGCCTCCCAGAATCACACGCCAAATACTTTATTGTTCTGCTGAGATGCTTACAAATACTGAGAATCACCCAGCCTGGACCCGCACCCAGGCCCAGCACTGGAGGGGGCGGGGCGGTGGGCTTAGTGTTAAGGCGGAAGGACTGCAGCCAGGCCGCCGGAGGCCTCGTCCTCTGCTCCATGGTCATCCCCTTCGGAGGTGGGACTTCAGGGTCCCCTCCTCTGAGCTCCTCTCCGGCTCAGGCTTCCTCAGGGAGCCCCGCACAGAACCCGAGGAAGGCCCTTCCAGCTTCCTCCTCCTCGGGACCGAGATACCCTGACTTCATCCCCTCTGGCTCTAAGCAAGGCACGAGTGGACGGGAGAGGGCTGGCCGGGGCCAGCAGCTGTGCGTCGGCCTGGGGACGGGCTGGGGAGGGAGGTGTGAGGTCCCATTTCCCCAACATGAGATGCCTAAGGGCCTGGGCTGGAGAGATGATGGCACGTACCCTCAGATGGGCCCACAGCTTCAGCAGTGGGCAGAGCCACACAGCCACGGCAATTAGTATGTAACCATGGCAATGAAACGGTTACTATGGTGACCATGGTGATGGTTCTGCAAAAAGGGGGTGGGGCTGACCCCTCAAAGATAAAACATGAGGCCTCTGGCCCTTGAGCAAAGTAATAAAAGTACAAATGCGGGCGGACGATGGGGTGAGAGCAGGGCCTGAGCTGCACCCCACTCTGGAGGCGGCTCTGCTCGGGCCCCCACGGCCCCTGCAAAGGAGGCTGAGGCAAGAGGGGATCTTTGGCAGATTCTGGTACCGTAATTGTCCTTGACACAGAACACATAGGGCAGGACCCTGCAGGGTTATTGCAAGTTCCGGGCTCCTGGGCTGCAAAACACCCCCGCCCCGCCCCGCCCCCAGCCCTGGCTGGTTCTGCTTCTGCAGGAGGCCCGAGCTCAGCACCTCCCAGCCGGAGCCCTCACAGGACAAAGGCCTCTGCTCCCAAAGCCCTGGCTCCGCTGGGCCCTCCCAGGGCCTCAGGACACGCCGCCGGGAGGCAGCCTGGGCCAGGGGGTGACTGTGTCCAGGGCCAGCAGAGAGCAGGAGGTCGGGCCTGGGCCCTGAGCCCACCCGTTAGTTCATGAACTGAGTGTAGCCCTCGGCCCCGGTGACAATGACGTCCATCCAGATGCGCATGGCCTCTGCAGACGGGGCCACCATGTAGTACAGCCGGTCGTGCGTCTTCACACAGAAGGTGAGGGCCGGGTTCGGGCTCTGCGGAGGGAAAGGGGAGCGTCTAAGACAGAGCCACCCACCCAGACGTGCAGCTTTCTCCGGCCCGCCTCCCATCCGCCCTGCCCCGCCCTGTCCCCATGACGACCTGGAGCTCGGGGCTGAGCCCTACATGGACCCGAAGCCTAGCCCCCACCAGCTGATGCTCCTGGGCCACTGGTTTGACTGTGGTCCAAGCTGAGATGTCCCCTCCTCGCCCCGGCAGTCCTGGGACCTGTCAGTCAGGTTCCTCCAGGTGGGGCCCTGGTCCTCAGCAACCCCAGGCACAAAAGCATTTCACAGATCAGACACCAAGGGCCATTCCTGTGAGGGCTGTTCCATCTCATGCGTTCTCCTCTCTGCAAAAGTGGTGCAGGCGGCCCGGCCAGCCTGGCTCAGGGGTTGAGCAGTGACCTATGAACCAGGAGGTCATGGTTCGATTCCCGGTCAGGGCACAGGCCCGGGTTGCTTGCTCGATCCCCAGTGTGGGGCGTGCAGGAGGCAGCCGATCAATGATTCTCTCTCATCATTGATGTTTCTCTCTCTCTTCCTTCCTCTCTTAAATCAATAAAAAAATATATTTTAAAATGCGGTAATTGTAGTTACTGTCTATAGCAGTGATGGCGAACCTTTTGAGCTCGGCATATCAGCATTTTGAAAAACCCTAACTTAACTCTGGTGCCGTGTCACATATAGAAGTTTTTTTGATATTTGCAACCATAGTAAAACAAAGACTTATATTTTTGATATTTATTTTATATATTTAAATGCCATTTAACAAAGAAAAATCAACCCAAAAAATGAGTTTGCGTGTCATAGGTTCGCCATCACTGGTCTATAGGGAGGGTACCTCGGTCACCAGAGTGAAGCTGAAACCTCTTTGGAGAAGGGGAGGAGGAGGAAGGAAGGGAAAGTTTACAGTGGGAGCGAGGGGCGGCCCGAGACTGCAG